ACCTGTGACATGATCTTCAATTCATGTGGTAGCTAAAAGCCAGAAGTACCCACATCCTCAAACTTTCCATCCTGTCCAGCTATTTCTCAGTGGTCCTATTTATCTCATTTAAGACTAAAGGAGAAAAGCTTCTTCCTTGCACAACAAAACTTAAGTGAAAGCTCAGGTTGACTGAAATACTTTTCCTGTTTTGCTCCTTAAAGATTTTGAGTAAAGACCAATGCATGCAACATCATATGCCTTGAGTTTAGTTGCTGGTACTTTGTTGGCACAATGAGGAGAAATGTCAAAGACGACAGAACAAAAAACAAGACATTGTGGTTCTTTATGTAAAGAGAACAAAGATATAGGACTGTAACACATTCCCAACACGATGAATGTAAAGAGTGAGCTGGCTAATAAAATGCAAAAAGCCTGGGACATGGGCCCTTGAGCCACTTATTAGAATAATTTGTTGTAGCCTCATACTTGATATGAAATTTGACTCATGAACACAGCCCCAGAAATTACAAACATATATATCATTTTATAAATCTTGTTCTTTTGTTTATGCTGTAAGATATATTGCTATTTTTATATTTTTGACATGAGTGAACCAAATGTTTGTCATGACACTGAAAACTGAAGTAAAGAACTGAATACATAGCGAGCTAATAATACAGAAAGTAGGTGGGAGCCGCTGCAACTGACTGCCACTCTCACAACGCCATAGCAACATTAAAAAAAAATAATAATAATAAAACTAATCATAATAAACCATCAATAAAATCAAAGTCAAAAACTAGTAGCTATTTAACATTTATAAACACCTAAGGCACATTTAAAAAGAACAGTGGTAAGCAGCTATGAGGATGTTTTAAGTGTACATTTTTAAAACTTATATTAAGACTTATTTTGCTAATTCATTCAGCTTCCTGGCACCACTGAGCATAAAGGAGCAAATACTCAGGTTTTTAAACCTAAGCAAACAAAGTGTACTGAAGTGTATAGTGTGTGCAATGCCTCTTTTGTTCACAAGAGGGCCTTGTGTCCTTTTCTGACTTAATTATTGGTCTGGTGTCCTGTTCTGTGTGCAAGAGACTGATGAGAAGGGTATCAATCCACAGTGCATCACCACTGTCTATGTGAGGAGAAAAAGTTTACACAGACTGCATGCATATGTAAACAGGCATACTGAGCATATGGAGGGGTGGTGTCTTGCAAGTTCTTCCTCTGCCATTCTTAACTCCTTTGTTCCCTCTGTCCTTTCTCTTAAAGGCCAGCCACCTGCATTATGACAAAAATCTGCATCTCCATTCAAAGGGCAGATAAGCTGTAACTTCAGATGGACCTTTTTATCAGTCTACAAAACAAGCATCAAATTAGGCAGGTTGTGCAAGAAAAGCACAAAACTCACAGTCCAACTGAGTCACATCAGGCACATTTACTCACATTCCTGAAGACTTTTAACCTCCATCCTGTCGCAATCTGAGAATGCTGAATCACTGTCTAAAGATAGATGCTCATCTGCAGCAACAGCATGGGTCAGGCAGTGAGGGCTAAAGGTGACTCAACAGTCATGCAGCACAGTCAAAAAGTTCAGTCTTTTTTACAGAGCAAAAGAAGCAGGTATATGGCTGTCTTGTCTTTCCAGTTCAGCCCTTTTGAAAAATGGTGTTTGTCAGAGTAATAAAGCTGTCCCATAACCCTCCGTACTTCTGTAATATTCATGATCAAATGTTTGTGCCTCACAAGACAGCTTGATAAGTGTTAAACCTGAGCTGACCCAAGTTCAACAATAACAAGTACATTACCACGTGGGTTACCATGAGCAGAGCTAGTCCAGACTCCCAGCAACCCACATTAGCTTGTTAAAACAGACTCCCCATTGGTACGGCCCCAGCATTCAAAGAGAGCTGCTCTGCTCTGTTCACTGATGACACAGGCTCTACACAGCCCATAATAGGAAATGGTTCATCTCAATATTACGACCTGTTTAGAAGCAAGGTGAAAAATGACACTTTTATTGCCCAGTGCAGCATCCTTCTGTTCTGCCATGACCCGGCCTGTTTTACCTTGTGCTGTCATATCAATGAAGTCAACAATATGACTGAGAAAGGAACATAAACACACTTAACAGAGTGGCGGCTGTGTGCGCGGCTGTTATGGTGGTGGGGAAGGAGATATTAAAAAATTCGCATAGGGCCACAAATTCAATGAAGTAAACCCCTGTCCAATCAGTCATGGACAAAAGTACTGGCACCCTGGAATTTTTTTTTAGAAAATACACCATTTCTCCCAGAAATTGTTGCAATTATAAATGTTTGTGGTATACATGTGTTTATTTCCTCTACGTGCATTGGAAAAACACAAAAAAGAAAAAAAGCCCAAATTTACAAAAATTTTATTAAAAACTCAAAAATGGGCCAGACAAAATTGTCGGCACCCTTAATTTAATATTTGGTTGTACACCCTTTTTAAGAAATAACTGAAACCAATCGTTTTCTATAACCATCAACAAGCTTCTTACACCTCTCAACTGGAATTTTGGACTACTCTTCTTTTGCGAACTGTTCCAGGTCTCTCAGATTTGAAGGATGTCTTCTTGCAACAGCAATTTTGAGATCTCTCCATAGTGTTCAATAGGATTTAGATCTGGATTCATTCCTGGCCACTTCAGAACTCTCCAGGGCTTTGTCTCCAACCATTTCTTGGTGCTATTTGAGGTATGTTTTGGGTCATTGTCCTGCTGGAACACCCATGACCTCTGACACAGACCCAGTTTTCTGACACTAGGCCCTACATTGCAGCCCAAAAATATTTTTATAGTCTCCAGATTTCAAGATTCCTTGCACACCGTCAAGGCACCCAGTGCCAGAGGCAGCAAAACAACCCCAAAACATCTTTGCTCCAACATCATGTTTGACTCTAGGTACTCTGTTCTTTTCTTTGTAGGCCTCTTTCTGTAAAACAGAAGAATGACGTGCTTTTCCAAAAAGCTCTACCTTAAGCTCGTCTGTCCACAAAACGTTCTCCCAGAAGGATTGAGGCTTATTCAGGTACATTTCTGCAAACTCCAGTCCGGCTTTTTTGTGTTTCTTTGTCAGCAGTGGGGTTCTCCTCAGTGCTTCTTCTTTTTCAGATGACGACATATGGTCTGAACTGATACTTTTGCACCCTGAGGACAGCCTGAATCTGTGTGGAAGTTGACTGAGGATGTTTATCCACCATTCTAACTATCCTGTGTTGCACTCTTTCATCAATTTTTCTCTTCCGTCCCCATCCAGGGAGATTAGCCACAGTTCCATGGGTTATAAACCTCTTAATTATATTACGCACAGTGGACAAAGGAACTTCAAGGTCTCTGGAGATGGTCTTGTAACCTTGAGATTGTTCATATTTTTCCACAATTTCCCAACACATCTTGGTGCTTCTTTCTCTTCTCCATCCTCAGGGTGACACACAGGCACGCAACAAAAAGGTTGGGTTAACTTTTATACATTCTAACTGGCTTCAGGTATGATTTCTGTATTGCCAACGCCTGTTACTTGCCACAGGTGAGTTTAGAGGAGCATCACATGCTTGTAATAAAATGATTTATCCACAGATTTAAAAGGGTGTCAACAATTGTGTCTGGCCCATTTTTTGAGTTTTGTGTGAAATTATGTAATTTTTGGCTGTTTTCTTCTGCTTGTTTGTGTTTTTTCAATGCACATAAGAAATAAACACATGTGTACCACAAACATTTGTAATTGCAACAAGTTCTGGGAGAAATGGTACATTTTCTAGACAAACTCAAGGGGTGCCAGTACTTCCGTCCATGACTGTAAATGTTCAATAATTTCATTCAGTGAATCGGCGATAATGTTCATCACTTCTCAATAACTGCATTATTGATACTACAATATTCCAATGGGACAGTATAATATTTCCACTTATGAACAATAAAAAACAAGTACTTTAGAAGGACTATACTGAACTTAAAGGGACACAAAGTAGAAAGTAAAAAAGTGGGATTTCTACCCAAGTTAAGGGGAAAAAAAAAAAAAAAAACAAGACTAAAACTAAATTGAGGGTCCCCTTTGTATGCTAATTGGCCTAAAAGCACAAACATGGTTATAAAATGGTCAGTGAACACAGGACAAGCCAAAGGATTTAAATCCACAGCCAGTCTTGTGGTTAAAAATAAAAATATATTAATTACTTTCTTACTAGTTGCCATGTAAAACCATGGTGCTTTGTTGAGTTTAATTAATTCAAATCTAATCACGACTTTAATGTTGCAAGAAAACAGTCAAGGAGGTTATTCAATGCTTACAATTAGCAAGCAGTGATAAAAAATAACAGCATGTTCTAATGACGTCCTCATTTGCACGCCGGTAAATGCTGGCAAAATGCAAGCATTATTTTATCGGCTGTCCTTATATGCAAAAAATCTGATAACGATATTGACCAAAGTACATTTTATGCCAATATCGGGCCCTATTATACAGTATATAATAATAATAATAATAATAATAATAATAATAATAATAATAATAATAATAATAACTTTATTCGTGTAGCACCTTTAAGAACAACATTTCACAAAGTGCTTTGACAGGTAGAACATAAAATACAGGTAAAATATCAGGCAGGACAGGGAAAACATGGGTAAAAACAATAAAAAGTGCATGAAAACACATGTAAATACACAATGTAAGAAAAATAAAAATGTACAGAAATAACAGGTAATTAAAAACTGATTAAAAGGATGACATCACACAAGGGGGGTTAAGAGAGAAGATGAAAAGAAAACCAAGAACAAAAATGGATTAAGATATATAGTAGTTACTCCATGGCCTCTCATTTACCATAAATAATGCTATAAGCACTCTCTAAGAGCCATACACATATATGTACAAGCAAGGCCTAATTTCTGTTGTTAGTTACTCAGTGCTTTTTCTTAATTAAAATAAGATTAAATGATAAAAAATAATAATAATAATTTCACCTATATACAATATAATAAATGCCACAATAACTGCACAAGTTTGTCAGTAACTACATTTTAAAATATTCATTTAACAGTTAAAGCAAATTAGACTGATTGTAAATAATATTATACATATCTTATAGATATTTTTCTCAGTTCACTATGGCTGTTTTATCGCAATTGCTTTGTACAATTTAATGACACCTAGTCTATGTAATCCACTTTAAATGATCAATTCTTTCGGTGGTACACATATTATTACTCCAAGCTGAACTCATGCAGCTATGTGTTGAAGCATGTATTTATTTCATAACCATATTTATTCATCTGAACAACTCCTGCAGCAACAGTGCTCAATGCCACTTAAAGCTCCACATTCCCTCCCTCTGTGCCGGAATAGTGCTGCCTTAAGCACCAAAGGACTCCTCCAGAGACGTCTATCTTGCCCTAGCAGCAGCACCTGACCCTGCGCTCCTCTTCTGTCCTCATCATAAATGCCTCGTATTCTGTGTTGTGGTTTAACTTGAGGTGTTTCATGACATTTGTTGTGTTGCCCAAACTCCTTGCTGTTTTCCCACAAACTTAACAAACCGCATCTTGGCTGTTTGACTCCATTTACGCTCTGCCAGACTGACTGACTGAGCAGCGTACCATGGCATTTACACATTACGCACTTACCCACGTGGAAGAAAAAGTAGTTCCCACCAACCGCTTGTCACCTAGTCAACATCTCAATAATTTAGTTATTTTCCACTGTGCTTCTGGTAATAATATACATTACCTCAAGTGACTGAAGTATCAAAAGTATCAATATTTTGATTTGGGAATCGATTTTAGAGCATAGAGATCTGGTTTTGGAAGTATTGATATTTCACTATTGATCCACTCATCACTAATGCAGACAGCCTCAACGAGCCAGCTAAACACTGCACAAAGCTACAGATACATTCCCCACCGCAGGCCTCTCAGTTACAATAGTCAGATTATCCATTACTGCGATCACAGTGCATCTTCCATTTGCCATTTTCCTGCATGTCCTTGTCAGAATTGTATTTGTTTACAGAGAAATGAAAGTAACGACGAGCATGTAGTCCAAACAGAGGAAAAGCACTTCTATTTTATCACAAATAAACGATAATAGCTGTTTAACGATATCGTTGGGATGACTTTGAGAGCAATCTCAGACCAGCTCCTCTGTACCTGGATATTTTTTGCCCTTTATATTTGAACGGATGCAGAGTTTATATGCACCTGGAGCACACGGTAGCTGCTCAGCGCCGATGTTTACAGAATATTAACATTGGTCAGTGTGGACACACATATCTTTAAAGTGATCTCTTTAGTTATTAGTGTGGACGGGCCATCACAGTAAAACTGGCCTGACAGTCAGAGGAACAACAGAACAACAAAAACATCACAGTGTATGCACTGTCAAATGGGGAAAAAAACATGGCCCAGACACGAAAGATAAGTCCAATTGAAATGTATTGGTTTGAAATTTGTGGTGGGGAACACAAAAAAATGAGCAATTCATGTCCCTGGATATGAATCAATAGATTAAGTTTCGTGACTATTTCACAAATTGCTGTGAGACTAGGTTGGCATAAAACATATGACAATGACAGAAACTGTTTTTTTGTTGTTGTTGTTGTTGTTTTTAACACACCACAGCATGACAGGTTTTAATATGAACAGATCAACTGAACATGAGTCACACTACATGTCAGACTATTAGACTAACTAAGAAGAAACTCTTCAGAAGAATCTGTAGTTCAAGACCCTGTGGATGTTTCTGTGGAATTACATTCATACTGACAGGTGAGTGGCTGTGAGCAATCATTATCGTACTGTCTGCTTCCAGGCTGATGAATCTTATTATAGCTGTACAGCTCTTCATTTAGAATGATGTGGAGAGATTGGTGGATTTGTTTCCTAAATATTTGCCCACGTGTGGTGCAAAGAAATACTGTGTAGCATATTCTGTTTTGTCCACCAGAGTGCAGCAGACTCCTCCCCCTTGTCTGTGTGGTATGAGTGTGGCTGCAGGGAGTTTCAACAGCCCTACTGAGAAGTTCAGCTGTATTATCACAGTGTGCTATTTATAAAAGTCCCAATTCAGCTCCACTGTTGTCCATTCTGTACATAAAAAAGAAAATCAAAAGGGGGGAAAAGGGCTGCTTCAAGTCTTTCAAATGGTAGGTACCACTCAAAGATTATCTCCTCCACCTCTAAATGGATGATGATGATGATGATGATGATGAAGTCTTGCACTGTGGCAACAATAATGACGTGTCATTTGTTTATATGTGGAATGCAATATGCTGTTTATTTGTCAGTCTTTTCATGGTCTGAGTTTCTGTTGTGGCCGTGTTGTGAAGAGGCGAAACGTGTACAGACTTACGCAGGGCCTGGATAGAGTCTGAAACAAAGTGCCGTCTGTTGTTAATTTTGTTCTGATTTCATAATTGCTGGCCCCTACAGTTTATTCCTCTCTGTTCATTCTGTCCATCTTGCAGTTGGCATGGATATTCATTTCCCTACTAGCATCAGCGCACTCTTGTTATCTGCTTCCATGTGAGTCAGTTACATCTGACTTAAAGTCCACTACTGTAGTGGGCTCTGGGCACATAATTCACCTTGCAGTAATATTGCCTTGTGTTGCTGCACTTATGTACTGTTGCATGTTTATGACAAATATGTTCTTTGTTTCTCGGGCATCTTACGGACACTGTCTCTTTAAATGCTTGGTTCCCTGTTTGTTTCCACCATGGGCTGCGCCATGTTGTTTTAGTGTAAAGTTTAGAGCTGCAACAAATGACACGTTGTGAGAAATTGCCTCTTCATCTGTTTATTGCAATTTCCACACTACGTTATTTTCGTTTAAGGTCATGTGTGCCCTTTCTGTAGTGGCTACAAGTTTGATGTATAGGCCTAGTATATGCTGTGTATTCATTACTGTTAACAAATCCATTGAAAAGACAAACAGTAATATTGACTTTGCAGTCGAAGCCTGATACGCCCTAAGCCAGAGCCCCAATGCTACCCCAAAAAAATCTAATGAAACATATCAGTGTGCTCCAGCATTGTTCAGAGTGAGATGTTGCTGCAGTAAACATGGGCACTGTAGTTTATTTTGAGGAAGTCCCACATCCCACCATCCAAGTGCTTTGAATAATTGCTAGCACACCATATCTGTTTATATTTTTATGCAATATTTATCCTGTTAACTTCCCAGCAGAACACTGTGGTGGACGGGTGAGGAAAGTTATAAGTAGCACACTTTTTGTGCTACCAGTTTAAAGCTGTATTCAAAGATAATAAATGTTTCCCACAATTCACTTGCGCCTCCCCCACCAAACCAATAGTGTGTGCACTGACAACGAAAAACTGAAATTAAAAAGTTGAAATTTGTGGTACATCCAGGGTGAAAAGTATTATTGATACCAAAATAAAACAGAGCATCCACAGATGGTTATCACAGAATCTTAACATGTGTTCAAATGGGAATCTTACACATTGGACACTCAGTATATTAACTGTTGGTAAATATGACACTCTTATCAATAAATTAGAACATTTTTATTAGAAATTGCTAGAATATTTTAAATATAAGGGAAGCTTGAAAAAGGAATGTGAGAGCAGCTGTGGGATTAAGTGACTGGCTGGCCATAGTGTTGGATGAGTTTGCATGAATGGGCTGACAGAAGTGGATTCTCAAATTGATGAGAAGCTGACTGACTGACCATTTAGAGATTGAAGAAGATGAGCATGCCATCCACTGAGGTTAGTGGCTGGCA